TTTTTTTTTTGGTTTTTTGTTTTGTTTTGTTTTTTAAGACAGTCTCACTATGTTGCCCTCGGTAGAGTGCTTTGGCATCACAGCTCACAGCAACCTCAAATTCTTGGGCTTAAGCAATTCTCTTGCCTCAGCCTTCCAAGTCTACAGGTACCCGCCACACTGGGCTATTTTGTTGTTGTAGTTGTTGTTGAGTAGGCCTGGGCTAGGTTTGAGCCCCCTATCCCTGGTGTATGTGGCCTGCTCCTTAGCCACTGAGCTACAGGCGCCGAGTCAGAAAGGACTCTGTTGACTGTTCTTGGAAGCTAAATAATGGACCGTAACACAGTCTGTCTCAGAACTTTGATGTCTCAGAACTTTTGTAGTGACCCACATGTGCTTGTAAATCTCCCATGGCACACTTGACTCTTCTACACACAGAGTCACTGGGTGGACACGAGTGTCTCTTTTTTAATGTAGGATGGTCTCCCTGTTGTTTCTGTTTGCATTCAGCATTTCATACAATCTGTGCACCAAGTGAGGAGTGTTCTGGCTTTATTAAAATGCCAAAATACAGTCATGCATCACTAAACAATGAGGATATGTTCTGAGAAACCCATCACTGGGTGATTGCACCACTGTGCAATAGGGTGTACTTACACACCTATATGGCAAAGCCTTCTACACATCTAGGCTGCATGGTATGGCTTATTGCTTCTGGACTAGCGGCCTGTACAGCATGTTACTGTAGTGAATACCATGGTAATTGTGACACAATGGTAAGTGTTTGTGTACATAAACATAGCTAACCGCTAAAAGGGTACAGCAAAAATACAGTAGTATAATATTGTGGGACCACCATCATATATGCAGTCTGTCATTGACCAAAACATCAATATATAGCATGTGTATAAAATTCTATGATTATATTTGGAGTATTATCATGGCTTAGAAGCAAAGGCTCTTAGTGAGCAATGGTACAGATCATTTTATAGACCCAGAAACTGATCCCAGTAAAGAGAGAGGTAGGATTCTGGGCTTCACGTTGCCCCCCTTCCCCTTAGCTCAGGAGCTTACAGGTAAGTCCGTGAAGCAAAACATAAACAGACTCGGCTCCCATAGCTCGGTTAGGGCACCAGCCATAGACACCGAGGCTGGTGGGTTCGAACCTGGCCGGGGCCTGCTAAGCAACAATGACAACTACAACAAAAAAACAGCTGGGTATTGTGGCAGGTACCTGTAGTCCTAGCTACTTGGGAGGCTGAGGCAAGCCCAAGAGTTTGAGGTTGCTGTGAGCTGTGATACCATGGCACTCTGCCAAGGGCAAAATAGTGAGACACTGTCTCAAAATAAATAAATAAATAAACAAACAAACAAATGGAGATCTCTTGCCTTTGTATTGTAGTCATGGTGGTGATACAGGAGAAACCATTTTACTTTGAGTTTGAGAGGGGAAAGGCCAGAAGTATCTTGGTAGAAGCAATCATGTAAGACAAACAGACTAAACCGTTATTTTACCCACCCCAAAGATTTCCAGAGCATTCATAGTTTGGAAGAACAAAAAAGGACAAAAAAACCAATGACCTCAGAACTTCATAACAGGCCCAATTTATAAACTAACAGCATTTCTTATATTCAACACGTTAATGACTCCAGGCAATCTAAGTCTAAACGTTCTAGAAGCCATGGTATTAGCACAAGCCTTGGGTTTCAGGTTATATTCCAGATGTGTAGAGACACTTTGGCAAATCAACTTGCCATCTCAGAGGACCCTTATGAAAACATAGAAGTTAGAGGACTTGCCATGGAAGTTGGAGACAACAGTGCAATCACATTTTTATCTTCCTAGGACCCTTCCTAAAATGTCATTAATTAACATTCTTAGTTTAGCAACTGGGTTGTAAATAACATTTATTGTTCCCTTTTTTGTCAACACAGAGGAAAAAATGCTTGTAGGGTAGCTGAGTAATACATTTGTAAGACCATGGAATCTTTCCCCGCAAGGCTCTTTGTCCTCACCAGATTGTGAATTGTGTTTCCATTTTCCTCCGTGCTAGACAATGAAAGTCTTCAGCTTTTATTTCACATTTCTTTTTATGAAGAGGAGATTTATACTCAGATTCCACAGTTAACATTTGAAAATTCTATTTAAAGTACAGCATTTGCAATTTCTATAAAACATTTTAACGTGGCTCCTAAGCTTTCTTGAATACACCAGTTGCCCCATTTCTGTTTATAGGAAGCTGTATGTTAAGGGAAATACTTTTGGTATACTACCAATACTGTTCAGGGGACTTGGCGCCCATGCTCAGTGGTTAGGGCGCTGGCCACATACACTGAGGCCCCGGCCTGCTAAAACAACAATGACAACTGCAACAAAAA